TTCTGTGACGGGAGGGGTAGAGCAATGAGTGAAACATGGCTGTGACGTGACTTGAAAAACCGAATTCATGATAATTACCCTTTAAATTGATTTCTGGAGATTATCCAAGGTGCTTCATGACCCATAATTGGGTCCCAAGCCCAACTTTGGGAACCAAAGTGCAGTGGTTCCCAAACTTTTCAGCTTTTGACCCACAAAATAACAGCAGCAGAGACCTGTTCCCCCAACTATTTTTGGATGATAAACATTTGTATCAGGTCAGCAAAACACGGGCATAGTAACAATATGTTTTATACTAAATTTACCCATTTTAAATACACTAACCTCACTCATTTGTAACATCTGAGGCAAAAATGTAATTAATTCCTAAAATCTTTTCAGGACCCCACTTTGATGTTTCGGGACCCCACTTTGGGTCCCGACCCCAACTTTGGGAAACACTGCTTTAAACAACACTGATTGTTTTGTCTTTCACTTGTCTCCTTAACCGGTTTTAACACTAATAATTTTGTTTTGGTTAGTTACAAAAGCTAGACTGAAAATTAGTGCAAAGTTTAAAAAAAAGGTAAAAAAAATCTTTATTTCAAAACCGACATAAAACAAAACAAACAAAAATGTGTATATATCTATATACACATATATGAATATGTGTATTGGGCAAACTCATTTAAAGTTTAAACTAAAACACTTGAAGAGATCGCAAAAAAGATTAGCTTCTTGTAAGTATAAAGAAATGATAGATGKTTAAAAACTTTTTTACAGTACTAAAAAACCTAGTTTAACAGGACTGAAGTGTTTTTTTAAACTCTACTGAGAAATATTTAAAGTGAAGACACGGGTTATTCTGAGCCTGAGGCCCACAGTCTGCATCTAAAAGGTGTCCTGTGCAGAAATCCAGCCAATCTGATAGTCCTCAAATAAACAGTAGTGTAACCTGTAAATAAACAGTTGCGGTCGAGGAGCCTCGGCTTTGCCCTGGGAGCTTGGCAGGGCCAGACACCACACACACACACACACACACAGAGCCTCTCTCACACACACACAAATAAACAGACAAACACGCACGTACGCACACGGCCCCTTTCCAAAAACAACACTTCTTGGCACACTCCCTCCGTGCCACTTGTTTAAATAAACAAACTGGTTCATGAAGGAAAAGAAAAAAAAACAGTACCACGTATGATTCAGATTATCTCCTGTTACTCAGCAAAAATAAAAAAAATAAAAAAAAGAAAGAAAGGGGGAGCTTGTGGATATTTTGGATGTGTCCACGAGTTCTTACACCTTCGTGTCCGGTGGGATACTTATCATACCACTGTAACGATTAGGGCAATTAGTGGTAATGGCAACAGAAATCTGGCTCGGCAAGAAAGTTTCTGAGTGCTTATGAGGTTTCTCCACACCCCAAGTGTGTTGCTCGCCTGGATTTTATAATCACTAAAACACTCGCGCGCTCTCGCTCCAACCCACCCTCCTCAAGTTTTGGCACCGGACCCATTCTGTTCCCACTAAACTGTGGAACACATATGCACAGAGTGTGGGTTAAATTAGCCACATAGTTTGGGAAACTTTCTCTCCCTCCCTTTTTTTTTTTTTGGTGGTGTAGCCCGCAAACATTTGCAGACACGTATATATAAAAAAAATAAAAAG